CAGTGTTTACATAACAATTACAATGTTTACAACCAATGGGAATTTGGTATTTGGCTTGAAGAGTTGCTTTTTTGCTTGTCATTTAGTTTGTGCCCTGTTTTTCCTTACATTTACATTTTCACAGGAAGTGTTCAAAGTGAACCTATGTTGTGACCCTCATGAGAGGCATTTGCGGGGTCACTAGAGGATTCTCAGCCTTCCTGTCATGATTGCTCAGTCCTCCCTCCTGCAGATGTGTCTGTTTTCTCTAACTCTTACCATGTTGTTGCTGTTCGTGTTGGCGGGGTTCCTTGAGGTCAGGGATGTGGCTGGTTTGGTCTTACTGGTGTTTGTTGGATGAACGAAACTCCTCCCTTTTCATTCCTAGACAGAACAACAGGCAAGCAGGATGTTCTCGTGTTGGAAGCTTTCCTTATGACATTTCCAGGCCTGGGGAGAGTGCATCAAAGGCATGAATGTTTTAACGGTGTGATCTTGGCCAGATTTCCAGAGTCCCCACTTTCTCAGCCTATAGAGTTTAGTCGTCTTTTATCTGGGAATTAGGTTCTAAGGTCAGTGCGTTAGGTGAAGAATTTCTGCACCTTCTGTGAGGCTCACTGGAATTACATTCCTCAGTGTGAGGCTCACAAGGGTCGAGTCCCACAGAGCGGGCAGCAGCCTCAAGGACTGGTAGCAGATTGTCTCCTGGGGGACATTTCTTTCCCCGCTTTGCCCTTGGCCCCTTGGCATATGCTGAATGCACATCCCGTGCTGCTTCAGCCTGGCAGGGACAGAGGGAAGACTGAGATGGGCGTTCAGGAAGTGAAGGGGATGGGGTTGCAGGTAGGAGGCAGGTGTGTGGGTTCAGTTCTCTCCTTCAACAGGAATGCAAATAATTTTTATGGGGTTAATGTTTGTGGCTCTAGCACCTTGCGACCGCCTGGGTGGGGGTTGGGGGGGGTGCTTTTTCCACAGGTGTGCACAGCCTTTCCTGCAGACATTCTGTTTCACTAGACATTTGGGCTGGGGCTCAAGGATTTGCATTTCTAATGAATTCCCAGCTGATGCTGCTATTCCAGGGACTCTACTTAGAGAAGCATCTAGAGCTGCACTGATCCATATGGGGCCACTAGCCGCATGTGGCTATTTCAATTAAAATTAACTAAAATTAAGTAAAATTTAAAATTCCATTCCTTGGTCACACTAGCCATATTTCAAGTGGCCAGTGGCTACCGCATTGGACAGCCCAGATCTAGAACAAGTTCATTATTGTAGAAAGTTCTGGGCAGCGCTGAGGTTTGAGTTTCTGCTTTAACACTTACTGGTTGTATGAATTTGGGCAAATTACTTACTTTCCCTGTGCCTTAGTTTCCTACCTAGAGATAGATTCTTACCTCCTAGGGTTGGTGTGAGGTCAGTACATGAAACGTGCTGGGATGATGTCTGGCTTCTAGTAAACACTAGCAAATGTTTATTATTGTCATTATTGTTACAAGAAGCAGGGAGTGGTGGAGGTGTTGGTCCAGACTCAGGGTAGCAGGTTGGTTTCCTTGGGGCTGCTAGCCTCGGCTGTTTAGTAAAGGCTGCCTGGGATGCAGTGCTGTAAGAACTGGGACTGTGCTGGACTGAGAAAGGAAGATGTTACGAATGTTTGTGATGTCTGCCGTGGAATAGGGAAGCCTGTTTGTGGCCCATGGGACAGATCGTTTTTTCCATCCTTCCCCAAAAGGATTGCCCTGGTTCCTAACGCACTGTTACAGGTTGATTGTGTAGGATATAGCATCTGAGACGTGGGTTTGTGTGCAGGACGGGGGAGTGCATCGGGGATCAGCTCCTGTGGAAGTGGAGGCACCAGGGGGAGCTGGGCTGCGATGTAGTCACAAGCACAGCCTCAGCCAGCCGCATGCGGAGCTCCTGGGATGGCCCCGCAGAGCTGTCCTGAATTGAGGCCAGAAGGCTGGGCACTCGGACCAGTCACTGAATGCTGGATGTGACCTTGACTGGGGCATTCTCTAGCTGATGACGAGTCGTGGACAGGGAGAGGGGTTAAGTTGGGAGCTGCTGGTTTCCCACCCGCCGGCAGCTAAGGAATCACCGTCCATGTCCTGGCTCGGGGTCAGGCAATGCAGCACAGATCTATATGCCCAGAATGGGAAGTGAGGGAGAGGTGAGG